TGTACTGTTTATTTGATTTGCTTCTGAGCGATGAGCCTTAACCCGGTATGCTAATCTGGAAATAAAAAATTTGACATTTCCGAATCATTATTATTATTTGTTACCTGTATGTATAACAAACCATAGTGTGCTCCTCGTGTGCTCCACCCATGAAATCAATAAACTGCTACAAAGAGCACATTTTCTCTATACATGATACAAAAACATTTTAATTAAACTCTGAAAATAGACCTTTTTTTAAGATTATTTTCAAATAAAATCCTCAATATCCATTCAGTGTCTCGTCCTCCTTCTAATCATGGAATTAAATTTATATTACCCCCCTGAAGGAAACCATTCATGGTTCTGGAATGTGGGAGGAAGCCAGATTACCCACAGAAAATCCGGCGAGAACATGCAAACTCCACACAGGAAGGTCTTTTTTTTTTTTTTTTTTTTTTTTTTGTAATATAGGGTACTCATGTTGTGTCCAAGTGGAATTAAATGTTCTTGTTCCTTCTTTTGTTTGATTTTTATGAGGCAGAAGTTATCACAATGTTGGTTTATTCATCTAATCATTTGGTCTAATAATTTTATGTTTGTATTATTTGTTTGAGGATAGAATTTTGTTTGCAATTAAGTCTGTGTGCCATAGATTGATTGGAATCATTTGTTACCCCCCTTTGCAGGTCAGAGCACCTTCCAAACTGAGTCTTTCGGAGTTGCTGCATTTACCCAACCATGACATCACTAGTTCCCAACGAACCTGACCGCCCGCGGAATGTTCCATCCACACAGGTGTTTTTGAGCATTCCTCCACTTTTACAGTTTTCCTGTACCAGCTTTGTTTTATGAATCTGTTGCAGGCATTTAAAATGAGAGAGTATTTGGAAAACAAACAAACAAACAAACAAAACGATCATTAGTTGTTAAATCTTTGTTTTTATAGTGTGTCAAAGTACCCCACGGACTAAAATAGCTCCTGACCGGCTCTCCGTTTCAAAGGGTTCAAACCTCTTGTTTGCCTACTCCAACGTGAAATTTCATTGAGAACAAAGTTTCTTTAAGCCAGTAAGGGAAGGAGACATGCCCTGGTAATGGCTGCCTCATTTCTTGAGCGGCAGTCCCGATTTTAATTCAGTTAATTTCTCTATTGAACAACCTTTAGCAGAAATAAGAAATAATCTGATCGCACCCTTTTCACAGCAGCCCCCCTTCCTAAATGATTTGTTGTGTTTGGAAAGGACTGGGTATTTTTGGTATGATCACAATGACTTGTTTGACTTTAATTTAGAGCCAAAGTAATTCATAGAATTCTATATGGCAGGCCCGGCGGAGTGGGATTAACTGTTGATTTATCGAAAATCAATGAGGGAAATAAGGATGACAAAATAGTGTGAAGTTAATAAAAAAAGTATTTAATAAGTGAGATACATGTATTTATTTATTTTAAATGGATGAGGGAAGTACTGAATAAGAATGACAAAAATATCAAAGTTAGATTAAAAAAAGTATTTAATAAGCTAAGAAGCAAGACAGCAACGTTGAAAATAAGTAGATGATAACAATGGAAAACAATAAAATGTAAAATAAATGACAATAAGATTATATATGTATATATATGGACTAAATTAATTCCAGTCACATGCATCTTGGGTAGAGATCCCTCAGAACTGTTATTCGAGTTAAAATTCCAATGTATTGAAGCTGTAATTTCCCAAATTGTCAAAAAGGACTATAATAGGGCAAAACGGTCTCAAGAACAAAATGATCCTTTTGGGTGAGGAAAAAAATGGACGAGTGCACAATGTGTCCGCTTCCTCAAAACTAATTTTTATTTATGACAGATTCTGCACAAGGATAAAAATCAATACGGTACTATGAATGGCCCTCTTCATTGAAAAAAAAAGTATTTTCTCCTCCCTGTCGTTTATGCTAGTTTTGCTAGTTATTCCTATCTGCTCTGATTCTCACACAGGGAGCAAGAAAAGGAAAGAAAAGTTATCAGTTTCAAGTAGAGTCCCTCATTGTCCAATCAAAGAAGACAGTCCCAACATTTCGGCGCAAAAGAGCCCCGTATTTTTGGGGTTCTCACTTTTGGGGCAACAAAAAGGGAGTGCCATCTTTTTCCGCAAATTGAGTAGTTTCAACTGGTTCTTGCTCTCCATCCATTTCTCCAACATATTTTTCTTAGTTCGCCACCATGCATTAGGAAGTCCTGTTCACTCATGTTTTTGACCTATTTGGTATTAAATTCAATCATCAACAGCTCATTTCCCCATCAAGAGTAACACATTGACAACAATCCTCTGAATCCACTCATAAAGCACAGAATAATGATTTTGTGTGTGTGTGTGTGTGTGTGTGTGTGTGTGTGTGTGTGTGTGTGTGTGTGTTTAAAAAAACTATCAATACCTGTTCTCACATGTAATGACAGGCTTAACTTAACACATAAAACATATCTGTGAGATACATGCTTCATGGGCAAAACTTTTGGGAACAAACCATCTGTTTCTGAATACATGGTCAAGCTTGGATATACAGGTATATACTGATTGTTACCATCACCAACCATACCATCACATTTCTCACACTAGTAATGATAAATTCATCCTTTTGTAATATTCACTCACATAAACCACTATTGGTGAGAAAATGATGACCGACAAAGTACAACAAAGGACGCTGGGACAACACCAGGAAAACGATACAACCCAAAATCCATGCAAAAGCCAAGGACAACATATAAATGGACATAAATCAATCAATAAATACTCACCAAAACACGTAAAGTACAAAACCATGACTGCTAATTACAATGAATATCTACTTACAAAGGTCAGTTCAAAAAACATGGCGAGATTAAAAAAAAAAAAAAAAAAAAACAAGAACATGAAAGAAGGAGCGTCTGGAAAATTCAACACTTGGTGACAAAGTTGTGAGCAATGGAAATAATCCAATAGAGACATGACAATGTGAAAGTCCTTATCTATACAGCTGATTGTGATTGTCAGCAGGTGTGCCAGCTGGAGGGAAAGGCTCTCTTCTGGCATCTGCTGGAGAAGCACAAAAACTGAACATTGACAATTACAGAGTTGAAAGGGATTTGTGAATCACTTATTTACATTTCACACCATGTCCAAACTTCATTGGAATTGGGGGTTCTAAAATAGCTTCTTTTATATCCAGAAAGGGCCAGGTGGCTAATTGGTTTGCGTGTCTGCCCTACAGTGCAGAGGTGCAGGGTTCGATTCCAGCTCTGGCCTTCCTCTGTGGAATTTGCATGTTCTACCCGTACCTGCGTGGGTTTTCTCCAGGTACTCCAGTTTCCTCCCACATTCCAAAAACATGCATGGCAGGCTGATTGAACACTATAAAAGTGTCCCAATATGTGAGTGTGGTTGGTCGTCTGTGTGTGCCCTGCGATTGGCTGGCAACCGGTTCAGGGTGTCCCCCACCACTGCCTGAAGACAGCTGGGATAGGCTCCAGCACCCCCCGCAACCCTTGTGAGGATAAGCAGTTCAGAAAATGGATGTATGGATATATCGAGAAATAATTTTTATTTGACATACATTTCCAAATTCATCAAATAAAGTGGGAACGTTTCAGAAAGAGGATTCAATTTCTGCCTTGCTTTGTAGATATGTATATAAAAACATACAAGTTGTGCGACTATATTAAAAAAAAAAAAAAAAGACATAAAAGGGTTCCACCAATCCAAACCCCTTTGAAATGAAACTTTGACTGATTTGTTCCAATATTCAGTGTATTAAAATATTCCAATAGGAGGTATTCATTTTCACAGAACTGTATGATTCACAGTGCAGAGGTGGCATGGTACGACTTCAAATAAAAGATACTCCTGAAATTAATACTCCTTAAAGTTGGCATCATTTAGCCTTCACAAGTGCATCAATATCAGGTGTTAAATCCTGAGCAATGTTCAGTAAATTTCAGGATGTTATTTATGTGGTTGTTAGTGTGACCTCCAGTGGACAAAATGAAAAATTGCAGTTCATGTGCTCTCTCTCCCCACGGGCTAGACATGACCCCCTGAAAGGCTGGTTTCTGGCCCACATAGCTGAAGTGTGACACATCTTACACCACAAGTAACACAAGCAGAAAATACTCTGTAGGAGCAACAGTAAGCCAAAACTTACATTAACAATGCGAAGATAATCCCGTAATATTCGTGACGTCACTCACGAGTCCATCACATTACACAACACACACACAACAGTCGTTGTTTGGGACTTGGGCTGTCCCAATGAACATTATAAAATCAGTTTAATTGTTTATAATATTTTTGATTGATTCTGTGTATCGACAATCCAATGCCCAATTGTCTTTATTGAAAAAAATGTGACAAAAAAAAAAAAAAACAAGCGTTTTTTTTTTTTTTTTTCCACCCTGGAATTTTTTCACACTCGGGAATATTGATTCAAAACACAACTACATTGAGTTATGAGTTTGGTCATGAAACAAATTAAAGTATTTCGATTAAGTGCCACTGTACCTGTATTGGATCTTTCCATACTGTCTGAAGTTGGCATGTTTGTTTTGTGTTTCTCTTCTCGGATTCTCTCAACCAGAGTATGCTTGCTTTGCTTACTGCAACCATCCAAAAAATGTCTTATGATTATGGTAGTCTGAAGTGAATTCCTCTTTCCTTAACTTTGCAAGGATAGGCACTAGAGAACCTTTAATACAGGGGTGTCAAACTCATTTTTGTCACGGGCCACATTGTAGTTAGGGTTTCCCTTGGAGAGCTGTTATGAATTTTGGGAAACCATATAAATATTTAATCACCTCCACATATTACATACACAGCACACAACAAATTGATGGAAAGACACTACTTTTAAAATCAGAAGTCAAGAATAATGACTGTTTTTGTGGATTACATATGACAATTTGAAATTTTGGTTCAGACTTTAGCAAGCATCATGGAACTGGACATACTTGATTTGCTTTTGCGGGCCACATAAAATGATGGGGCGGGCCAGATCTGGCCCCCGGGCCTTGACTTTGACACCTGTGCCTTAATAGATTGAATTAAATCAAAATGGATTGATTGTATTAGCATAAACACAGAGAAAATCATTGTAATGTTTTTTTCTCAGGTTTCTGCATTCACGCCAGTTTTCAACTTCTGGAGCTCTTCCTCTAATACGTTGATATGTTGCAGTAGCTCCTGTCTCTCCTGCTCCATTTTGACCTTTGTCTGCTCCTCCACTTCGAGGACCTTTCTTTCATACCAACGCTCCAACTGAATGGACACCGTCTCAAAGAAGTGCTGAGTCACCTGCCAGGCACAAAATAGCACCATTGAAAGTTGGTATCAGATTCAACTATGTCATCTTATTTCAGAGTAACCAGAAAGTGGATTTGTTAGGTAGTAACTTTTCATTTGGAAAAACTATTAAAAATTGTAGTTTCCTGACACATATGTGGAAGAAAAATATGATGATGAAAATGATGTTTATGATATTAATTGCTTACGCTATGATCACACCTCCACATGGTGCAAGTGGGAGCACTGAAACAGAAGCGCCTGTGGAAGTGGAAGTGGCAAAGGGACCAAGAGGCTTCATGGACAAACCTTCCAGGTATGTCAAGAGGTGGAAATGGAGGGGTCCTTTTTTTTGGGGGGGGGGGGCAGAGGAGGAAGGAACTTGCCAGCTCTTCCCTCTCTATAAAAAAGATACTGGCGTGAGATTTCTCAGACAATTTTTGAGATACGCATTTTGGTGAGGAGAAGGTGGACATAAATCAGACTCCGAATGAAAACGATTCATCCAAATCCGGGATTATATAACAAAATTGTTGAAGGTTTAAAGCTAAGGAAGGGAAAAATATCTCAAAAATGAAAAGAAAAAAGATGCAAGAAAGAGAAAGAAAAAGAAAGCTCTGAACATCATGACATGAAACGTCCAATGCAAGTCAGTACAAGGAAGACAATAGTTGGAGCTAAATATGCTGATAACAAATAAGTGGGATGCGGTATTACTGACACAGGTGAAGGCCAAGAGGGAAGGCAAAGCCTGGTTTGGAGAAAATGAGAAACGAACTGCCAAAGTTACTCATCATGAGCTGCGATATTGCTGAGAGGGGAGTTGTTATAGAAATGGTGCGATGAAGGACAACCAAGTACAATGAAAGATAAACTTCAGTAAAAGTTTTGGGCCTCGTTTTAACTAGTTTTTTTTTTTTTTTAGGTATGGTTGGGGAGGAATTCTCAACCAATCAAACAATAAGAAATGATCGATTAGAACAGCGGTCCACAACCTTTTTTGTCCCACGGACCTGATTAATGTCAGACAATGTTTTCAGGGACCGGCCTTGAAGGTGTGGCAGATAAATACTACTAAATAATATGATATGGCCTGCATGAAAACTGTGGAATTTTCAAAACATAATAATAAACACAAATCAAGACAAGAGGAACATCCTATCTGGCCGCAACACTCTCTGTTCGCTATGGTAATGCTTAAACGTGCCTTCAAAATAAGATACACCACAAATATGAAGGCATGAAAAATATGACTCACCATCGCCGCATATTATGCAGAGTGGGCTTGGTGCGTGGGAATCTGCCATTGAGATAAATCTGTATTTTCGGTAGACACCTGATACTGTCTATTAAATGTAGCCTTCTTATTCTTAAAAGTCGTGGGCTCCTCTTTTGTCTCCTGGCTGTGCCTCTTCCCCTTCCCAAAGACATTTGTTTTTTACAAATTTTGCTAGCTCCTGGGTTTGATTTTAGTGGTAACCTGTCACGTGACCAAGAAGCGCGTTAAGAATGACGTACTGTAGATGGATGTAACAGACATTCCGGTAATTTTTTCAAAATATCTTTCAGATTCCAAAATAAATAAAACAGAGGTAATGTAAGTTATGTACTATTTCTCTGCAGCCTGGTACCAAATGACCCAAAGATCTGGAGTGTGTGGTCTATTTGGATTAAGACGATGTAATCAACAAGGGGTAGACCGCTTTGACTGGCGCCAAGAAAACAATTTATCCTACGTTAACAGTTATGACAATCATAAAACGCAGGGGAATTGGTTAAACAGTGCATTAGGGCAATGGTATGAGCTGGATGGAATCAGAATGAAGAGCAGACATGGAAATTCTAAAAAAAAAAAATGTACTGTTGGAAAAGCTACTTTATCTGACTACATTTAAATGAAAATGACCTTGGAACCAATCAATTTACAAAAGAATAGGAAGAAGCGTTACAAAAAGAAGAATCCAAGAATGAAATGGGGAAAAACTAAGAATGATGATATTGCCAATGCATCCAGAAACAAAGCAAAATCATTTTGAAACAAAAGTGATGACAATGATGAATAAAGACACAGAAAACAAACTGGGGGAGGACATTGTAAAATGCAGCTAGAGAAGTGTGCGGAATCGAAGAAGAGAATCTGTGGCTGGTTGACCATGAAGAGGAAATATTATCAATGAGATCAAGAATCAACAAGTCCTTGATTGCCAGAAACAGAATATTGGAAAGACTAAGACAGAGTACAGAGAAGAGCGTGACATCATAAGTCGAGAACTTGAAGATGCAAGAGCAAATGTAAGAGATGCAATTAGAATGTTGAAAAGAAGAAGCAGAGAGTTAGAGAAGAAATGGTGGGACAGGATATTGAATGAGTGGAAGTGAGACAAATTATTTAGGATTGATGTACAAAAAAAATCAGGAAAGAAAAAGAGGCATGAAGAAGGCACCTAACACATCAAATCTGAAAAAAGAGGATGTCAAAGAACATTTTGAAAACAGCCCAGAAGATACTGAAGAAACGACCCACAAGAGAGATCATTACCATCATGAAAAAGATGAAAAAAGTCTGCTCTGGGAGAAATTGGGTGAGGATGATCTAGCTGACAAAGGCGGGACCTGAGGTCTTGAACAAACTGGTCACAATGATTCATGTTTGATAACGGGGCAGATCAATGGGAAGAAGCATTGGAAATTGGCATTAAGATACTTAAGAAAGATGAGAGAAACAACACCAACCATTACTCAAAAGAGTAATCTGAGGAATCATGTGGAGTTGTGTGGGTTTCAAATAAAACAACCCTGGCCTGAAAGGCAAGAGCTACATCTGCGAGCACTGCAGCGAACAAACCACTCCATGAAAAAAATTGTCTGAGAGATCTGGAAGTTCCCTGACAGGGAAGAAACTCTTACAGGACAGTAATTCTAATCAAGAATTTCACCCTGTATTTGCGGATTTTTAATGAGGGTATAGATTGATAACACATTTTGCTACTAGTGAGCCGTGTCATTTTTAGAAGTAGGATCACCTCTTTGGCAATTTCAAAAACTGTTCACAAGGTAGGGAGTACTACAGAAATATTGCTTTTTATTAATAAGTTATGATTTATGTTTTGTTGTTTATTTTTTTTAACCAAACCATTTGGGTATACAGTATATTCTTCGACCGATGCTAGCGCAGTAGCTTGAAATCACTTACCTCCATAGCATGCCAATGATTTCTTTCTTGAATTAATGTAGGCTCCGACGGAGGGTCAACAAAGAACTCCAGTGTTCTGGTGCAGTCTGCTTGCATCTGTGTACACTTGTAGTCACTAGTTAATTTTCCGCTGCGTCTGTCTGTTCTCTGATGATGACTGCTCAAGGGGCTCTGGACACTTAGGCTGGACTGCTGACTGCTGCTCGAGAAGCTGCGGCCACACTCCTGCACTCCTGGAGTCTGGTGGCAGAAGTCATTAGAATCCACGAGGAATCCAAAAGCATGTCGGTTATGTTTGGAGCAGAGGGCTTTCTGGTCATAGTCATCTGATGGGAGATTTTAGAAACAGGGACAAAAAAAAAACACAAAACAATATTTACTTGGAAATGACAGACGCATGCCTGAAAACACTTCTAGTATTTTATGTCTGGTGAATGTCAAACATTTGACTCACTTCGCTTTGACTACGTTTTTTATTTATTCAACAATTTAACACTAAATGTAGTGTGAGTGTGTGGGTCATCCATCTATTCTCTACTGCTTATCCGGGGTCGGGTCGCAGGGACAAGAGCTTTAGCAGGGAAGGCCAGACTTTCCCCAGCTACTTCTCCCAACTCTACCCGGGGGATCCTAAGGTGTTCCCATGCCAGCCGGGAGACATAATCTCTCCAGTGTGTCCTGGGTCGTTCCTGGGGCCTCCTGCCGGTGGGACGCTTCAACGCGTCGGCTGCGCCTAGAAATTCTGTCCCTAAAGGTTCTGAACAGAATCGGTGATAAAGGGCAGCTTTGGCGGAGTCCAGCCCTTTCTGGAAACAAATCCGACTTACTGCTGGCAATGCGAACCAAACCTGATATCAGGAGGTTTGGTACCTGATATTTCTGAAACATGCCCCACAGAACTCCTCGAGGGACACAATCCAACGCCTTCTCCAGGTCCAAAGCACATGTAGACTGGTCGGCGAACTTCTGTGTACCCTCAAGGACCCTGTCAAGGGTGTAGAGCGCGTCCACTGTTCCAAAGTCGGGACAAAAACCACACTGCTCCTCCTGAATCTGATCACTTGACTTGCCGACAGACCGTCCTCTCCAGCACCCCTGAATAGACCTTACCAGGGAGGCTGAGGATTGATTGTGATCCCTCTGATCTTAAAAAGAGGGACCACCACCTTGCCAATCCAGAGGCACTGTCCTGATGACCACACGATGTTGCAGAGGCATGTCAACCAGGACAGCCCCACAGCATGCAGGGCCTTGAGGAACTGCGGGTGGATCTCATCCACTCCCGGGGCTTTGCCACCGAGGAGTTTTTTAACCATCTCTTACTTATAACTTCAACCTCAGAAATAGCAGAGCCCACCTCAGAGTCGCCAGAATCTGCTTCCTCTAAGGAAGGCATGTTGGTGGAGTTGAGGAGGTCTTCGAAGTACTCCAACTCACAATGTCCCGAGTCGAGGTCATCAGCGCCCCATCCCCACCATACACAGTGTTTAAGGTGCACTGCTTCCCCATCCTGAGATGTCAGATGGTGGACCTGAATTTCCTCAAAGCCGTCCAGAAATCAGCTTCCATGGTCTTGCCGATATCCTCCCATGCCTGAATTTTTGCCTCGGCAACCGCAAAAACTGTGCTCTGCTTGGTGAGTCGGTACGCATGAGCTGCCTCCGGGTCCCACAGGCCAAAAAGGCCTTCTCGGACTCCTTCAGCTTGATGACATCCCTGACTGCCGGTGTCCATCAGCGGTGTCTCGCTGTTCCTTTTTCAAATGCATATCTGATATTCAAAGTATTAACATAGATTCGTCCCAGCAATCTTTGGTAGAACTTCTTTTAATCTTGTCACATCAACCATGCAGGACAATATGATTGCCTTCCCCTCCTTGATAGCATGCAGGGAAATCCTTCTTTCATGGAAACCACAACACCCACCCAACTTTAAAATATAGCTGCATGCAATGTTCCCTCTAATTTTTCATATGTCTGGGCAAACATACAAGCTCCCTGAGCACACCGAGGACCACTGTGAAGAACATCAGAAGTGTTCGCTGTCGCCACACATTAGTATCACACCTGGGTTCATAGAAAGTTAATGGTTTATTAAAAGAATCAAATTACAACAGCAATTTCGATTAGTTTGCTTTTAATATAACTAATTTGGCCCACTTAAAGTGAAAAAGACATTTTTCTGCTGAATGTGTCGCTTGAGGTAGTCCAGCTTCCATTTAGTCCAGTTGATTTTCCGATGGAAAATTCGCATCGAACTTTAACTTCACCGCATGTTTTGCAGAGCAGACCTCTCTCACTCAAAAGAGAAAAAAATCTCACCCAGTTTCACCACTTGCCATTCTATTTCATTTGTTGATTAATGTGCACTGTCCCAATGAAATAAGAAAAAAAAACATACTCCAATAGCCATTTCAAACTAAGAGAACCGCAGTTCATTTTTATTTTGGTTTGGTGAGTCTACGTATCGCATTCACTGCCCGCTTGTTTCGCCATGATAAGGGGTTAGCATTAGCATCATCTATCTCAGCCGCACTGTTATTCTTATGGAGCGTGTATGAGCGGAGCACATGCACAAGTACTGCCAATGTCGTGATTGCCTGCATATCATCATTGCATCGTATCATATGATTGGCTGGACACCTGTCACTCACTGAATTACACAGCAAAATGAAGCAGAATTTTTTTATACATTTAATTCATTTGAAGTGCGTTCACTGAGCTCGATAGGTTTTCTTGTGCACTGAGAGTGTGCGACCAGTGCACAGTCGCGCAGCTTAGAGGGAACATTGGCTGCATGATGTTTTATTTTTACTGAAGTCGGGGGAAATTAAATTCACTCTAGGAGGGGATCCTGATGGGTTTTACACTCATTGGATGCCACTGCTTTGATATTATCAATTACTTTCACCTAATAAGGTTTTATAGGAGACATGCATATATATATATATATATATATATATATATATACACATACACACATGGGCGTGTATATACACAAAGATAGGTATGCAATTTTAAAGGTGAATAAGATTTAAATTGTATTACAGTACTCAATAACAGTCTGATAAAATATTGACAATTTTGCTCCCTCTACACTCGAGCATTCAAACCTTGATGACATCATTACAGTTTTATACTTAGAGGCAATTCATGAGTTAAATATTGTGACACGACTTTTTAAAAACTTTTTTTTCCTGTCTTTGCTGAGTTGTATTTTATTGAAGCAATCAAGGTGGAATATTACCAAATAGATAAAACTTTTACTGTAGATTTTTTTCAGGAAATAAAGTGGAATCTCATTTTTTTCTGATTAAAATAAATCTGAAGAATAAAGTTGTATCTCTTTGGAGGGGCGTAATATGAGAAAGTTAGATATTTGTAGTGAGAAAAATAAAAGTTTCATATTGCCTGAATAAATATTTTGAAGAAAGCCGTATTCCTTCCCGGAAACCCGTTTTTAATTTTATTCCAGGTTGACTCCAGGGTTTGTCCAAGTTGTGGTATCGGGATCTCGAGTGGTGTTCGGGCTCACTCTCGTGGCACTTGAAAGAATTCCCGCTCACCAATCACCGCCTCTGAACTTTCAAAGGCATCCCTCAGTCAGTCTGGGGGGGGGGGGGGCGCCTGGCAAGAAAACATTTTTTGTGGTCATTTGAAATACATGAATCCCCCTTAACTTTCCTGGTTATTATATCCTTCTTTGAAGAAAAGGATTCATATTAAATGGGTTACTTCTCTTGAGACACCCATTTTATTACATAATAATAATAATAATAAATTTCATTTGGAGAGCGCTTTTCAAAAGAACTCTAAAGATGCTTTACAGTTGTAGATTAAGTGAGCAAAACAAACAGATAAGCATACTTAAATCAACAAAAAGTATATTTTGAAAAGCAAAAGTTCTTTTTTTAAGGGTAAAGTAATACTTCTTGTGTAGAAAAATAAACAAAAAAAGAGGTTGCGGTTTGAGTAGTGTTGCCTCCATTTCCTTCATGTAGTTATTGCACTAAGCAGATCTCCACATCAGTCAATTATTGGAGGTTAAAGTCAACATGTAACAGGTGTGATTTTTATTATTTCAAACAAAGAGGGGTCAACAGTGCCACTGATGTCTCTCGGTAGTGAATTCCAAAGGGTGGGTTGTGGTAGTCCGGCACCGGGCATCAACAATCCTCTGATTGTGTGAGGTGGTACTAGACAGGGCGGCCCTGGTCTCCCTCCAAATCTTATGGGTCTGCCGAAAGGGGAGCTGCACTGAGGATATCTCCACGTCACAGTCAGTTATTTCAGGTTCAAGTCAATGTGGAACAGGTGTGATTTTAATTTGTTCTTGAACAGAGAGGGGTCAACAATGGGGAGGGGGTCACGGATATCTTCCGGTAGTGGATTCCAAAGACCTGGCGTTGGAATTTCCGAAAGGTTTTGGACAGAATTGGACTCTAAAAACATTAACTCGGAAAGAAGTGCCAAAAATGGCATATTAACAAAAGTGGCCGCAAGACCGACAAAGTATAACAAAGGAATACGTGTGTGCTCATACTTATGCGCTATTGGAAGAAAAATAAGGAGTACATATATGTTTGTGTGTGCGTGTACACATACGTGTGTGTGTGTGTGTGTGTGTGTGTGTGTGTTTACATCTGAGATTAAATTTGCTACAGTGAAAAACCCCCTGTTGTGAAAAATTTCTTGCTGCAAACATGATTTCGTTGTAGAGGAGTTTCACTATATATATATCTATATATATATATATCTATATATATATAGATATATATATATCTATATATATAGTGAAACTCTTCTATAAATGTTTCAGAAAAGAACTGTACACAGTTTAATATAAGTGCAATATAAAACATAGCATTAGCAATATATTTGTAGAATAAATATAATAAATTAGCAATAGCATAGAAAACACAGCGTAAGGTGGCTGTGCTATTTACAATGGTTACAGGTTTTCACGTATGTTTATTCAGCAGCCTGACAGCAGTCGGTATCTCTCCTTCTTGCAGCGTGGGTGTAACAGTCTCTGGCTGAAGGAGCTACCCAGTGCTGTCAGGGTGGGCTGGAGGGGGAGGGAGGGACTGTCCAACATAGCTTTTAGTTTAGCGAGCATCCTCCTGTTGCCACCTCCTCCAGAGTGTCCAGAGATCAGCCCAGGACAGAACTGGCCCTCCTGACCAGTTGCTCCAGTCTCTTTCTGTCCCGGGCCGAGATGCTGCCTGAACAGCAGACAATGCCATAATGGATGGCATTGTCTGCTGGATATATATATATCTGTGTGTGTGTGTGTGTGTGTGTGTGTGTGTGTGTGTGTTGTTAGGGAGGGGCCAGCCAGGCAGCCTCTTCAGCCAGGGTGCTCTTCATCTCACACCTGATGCTCACCAGCTAATCACCCAGATGTAGCTCATCAATTCATTTGGGCTGGTATAACCAGCCCTGGTAGACACTTCATGCAGTTTTCGCTTTCTCTGTGGACATTTCCTCTCCCCGTGGGCACTTTGTGCTCTCGCTGGAATGCTCAGTAAGTTTTCAGTTTGAATTCTCCTGGGTTGACTTTGCAAGGCCAATAAACTATGCCAAGTTTCGGCTAACCTTGTCTGTTGTTGTGCATTTGGGGTTAAATACAAATCCTAACAGTGGTGGACCATTTCAGCAAGGACCGTTGGCACCGTGTCTGGGAGATTGCCCAAGACGCCCTGTCCATGCGACGGAATGTGCCAGTTGAGGAGCCAACCGTCGTCATCACCCGGCACAGGTTTACCAACCTGGGCAAAGGGTGTGGCTGTCCTCCAAGGATCTTCGCTTCAGTCATGTGCCAAAAAACTCGATCCACGATTTATTGGACCCTTTGTGATCCAGAAGGTGCTCAATTCTGCAGTGGTGCATCTGAAGCGCCCTACCTCCGTGAAGATCCACCCTGTTTATTATGTGTCCTGAGTTAAGCCAGTCTCCGACAGTCTCCTGATGCCTCCGACCCCGCCCCCACCTCCCCCTGAGATTGTGGAAGGCATTCCCAATGGAAGGTCCGTTGACTGATGGACATCCGGCGCCGAAGACAGGGGTTCCAGTATCTGGTTCACTGGGAGGGCTACGGCATGGAGGATCAGAGCTGGGTCTCCCCCCGGCTCATTACGGACCCTAGACTGATCACTGGCTTTCATCGCTCCCATCCTGACAAACCTGGGAGGTTGCCAGGTGTCTCCCATAGGGGAGGGGCTACTGTTAGGGAGGGGCCAGCCAGGCAGCCTCCTTGGCCAGGGTGCTCTGCACCTCACACCTGAGAGTTGGCAGCTCATCACCCACCTGTAGCA